TATTTTAATGAAGTCTAGCTCAATATTATATATTAACTTAATCAAAAAAATAAAATATTGACAATTTTTTATTTATCTCCTAATTCTATTACTCGTTATAAGTTGGCATAGCTCATTACTCATTAGACTTTAACTATATTATGAATGTATAAATTCAACAGTTATGAAACATTCAAGAAAATTTCCTTCAGACGTCTATTTATGAATATAAGATATCCTTTTTCAAGAGCAGCAATCATACAAACCATACAATTTTACTTGATTCAAGCAAATACATTATAAATAAGATCTAAATTATTATTATATTAACTTTAGAATGATAATTTCGTTAATATAAAAGTTTTAGAATAAATTAACCTCCATCGTATATAAGTTTCTTATGACAGATATCAGTGATTGTTTAAGTTTATAGATAACAATCTGTGATGTGTAGATGAGAAATTATCATAAAACTTATTTTGCTTAATAGAGAAAGTTTAAGAAAGTAAAGGAAATAAATAATCATATTAGTTCCAACATAAATCAAGTAATTATTTTTCATAATTCTGCTTATAATTCAGTTTCAAATAAGCTTTTTAAAGTTACCGATTTTTACCATTATTTAAGGTTTTCTTTAAATCTCTTGCTCTGCCCTTTAATGCCGAACTAAATTTATATTCATTGTATTAAAACTATATTAATTAAACTGTGTATAAATAATCTACTCTTTTTGAATTTTTTTAAATTTTTTGTTTTTGGTTATCTTGGCTAAAAATTATCATTCTCGTTTATTCAAAAGATTTAACATTTGAATCCAAAATTTAACCTTTAGATATATTTTGAAATTCACAAAATTAATATAGCAGTAATTTAAACTTATGGATGTATATAAATACAATATTTGCTAATGTAAATAAATGTATATAAAATTAATTCTTTTATTTAAATGATTAACCCTATAATTATTCAGGGAGTCTATTAATATCGTAATTATTTGAAAAGGGATACTTTTTAAATAAAAAACACCGAAAAAGGAGAATAAATTTATCAAACTATGGATGGGTCTATTGTTTTTATGTAAATTAAATAATTTTAAATTAAGAGATTAAAATTCTAGTAGCCACTAATTCTAAGGATCAATTAGAAACATAGAATAAATCAAGTATTTGGCTTGGTTTTAGAAAAATAATTAGTTGAGTGAGAAAGAAAAAAAATGGATTGCTTTCTGGAAAGATGAAATAACTAACATTGGAGGGTTAACTGATGAAAATAGCTTAAAAATTGGAAAGTGGATTGAGCCTTTTGAAAATTATTGCGAGTAAATTTGGTTTTTAAAATTTTAGATAATGTTTAGTTGTAATGGCAGGTGAATATAATTAAGGTAAAAAGTAAGGAATATGGGAAATATTTATGGAAGGGTAAATGATGTATTTTTTTTTACTATCTAAGTGGATTAGGACTTTATATTGAAGGAACTAAAATTGGTAAACAAGTGGAATTATTCGAAAATTTTTAGTTGTATAACATTTTATTTAAACCTAATAGAACTGCATAAATTATTTTTATTGGAGATTACTTATGTGGTTAAAAATAAGGCTAATGGGATTATCATTATAGATATTTGAAAAATAAAAAATTCTAAATTATGTAATTGTGTACTAAAATTATAAGTGGCGGAGGTGAGTTTGATATATTTGGTAGAAAAGTTGGAAAATGGGTTGACCTATTTGAGAATTTTCGTTGGTAAGTTAAAATTTCAATCTAAGGGAAGCTTAAGTTTTGTGTATTGGAGAATATAACTTTGGAAAAAAGATAGGTAAATGGGACTATTCTTATTCTGTTTACTAAAATTAACCATATATGATTATGTAAAAAATAGATGAATTTAAAAGTGGTGGAGGTTATTATGATTAAGATGGATTAAAAAGGGATTTTTGGATTGAACTATTTGAAAATTTTTAAGAGTAGGATTTATTTATGAAAAAAAAATAGATATTGTTAAGTGATAAAATTAGGCAATTACAAACATGGAATAAAATAAGGAAGATGGGATTTTAAGTTTCGATGTTATTCTGATGAACCATTTTAAAATATGTAAACTAAAGTTCACATATTAAAGTGGAGGGGGAGAGTATAACTTAAAAGGATAAAAAACTGGGGCTTGGATAGAATTGTTTGAGAAGTTTTAAAAGTATTTCAAAATGTAAATTAAAAAGAAAAGCTCAAGTTATTTACTCCGGAGAATACAAAGAAGGAATTAAATGCGGAAGATGGAAAATATATTTCAAAAACTTTATTCAAACAAGCTCCTATAAATAAATGTAAGAGTTTTTTTTAATATTAAAGAGGAGGAGGTCGATATATGGCAGGTATTAAATAAGATAGATGGATAGAAATTCATGATGAATTTTCTGAGTAAATATTTTAATTTATTTTAGATCACAAAAAATTATTGTTTAAAAATTATATAATAAAGTTGGAATATTAAAAGATTCGAAAGAATTTCGGTTACCTTGACGGGTAGAAATGAATCAAACATATTGTTTAATTATTATTCATCTTTATAATATATTATGAAGGAATTATAGTTTAATAGCCTATCAAAATTTTCAATGATAAAATAAATTAGCAAAATAGCCCAGAAAATCGAAGGTATAACATAAAATAAGAATAGAGTCCAAAAAATCATATACATTATTTTTAGAAAAAAATTATCTGATCTAAAAAATAGAGAGCTTAGTATATATCTGCCATCTTAATAAGAAAAAATTCTAAATTACCTTTTAAGATGCTATATTTAAATTAAATATTTTTAGGAATTTTTTTTTTGTATATTCATTTTCTTAGAAATATCATTTAAAGTTAATAAATAATTTGATCAGATTTGCTCATTAAAATTGAGAAATTTCAAATCATCAAACATATCCAATTATAGAAATAGTTCTAAAAGATAATAGAATGTCTTATGAGTCAAAATAAATATTGTTTTAAATAACATTTATAAACATGTAAATTCTTAATAACTTTATCAATAATATACAAATGTAATTATTCATATAAATTATTTAAGAAAGGCGTTAATTTTTTAGTAAATCTGAAATGATAATTGCAATTGATTATTTGAATTCCAAGAATTCGATGATGGAATTCAAGAAATCGTGAATTTATTATAAATTCAATAGAAATACTTTTTCGTTTAATAATGAATATTTAAATCTGATCGAGTTCTTAATTTAGAAAATGATTTATTCACACTTTCTACATTGGTATTAAGATTAACAATCAAATTAAAACATTCATTATTTTGATTAACAGTGAATCCTAAATTAGTATTGATTTTTTCTACATCTTCTATATCAGCAATAGATTCTTTCCTTAATACATTTAAAAGAAAGTTAATCTGATTTGTGTACTATTCTAATTGAAACAAATTATTACTCTGTCATCCTAATGACCATCTTGCTAATATTATTCAAATTTAAATCAATCACTAAATAATTTATCAATATATAATATCCTAACCATATTAGTTCACATAATTATTTTTAATTACTAAAATTTTATTAAATGCAATTCAATAAATATTTTTACAAAAAAACCACTATACTTATAAAAACAAAGATTAAAGCTTTATAATGTGCCATATCAAATTATTAGTAAAGTTAAGAAATTATTTTAATAATTATTCATTCCCTTTTTTTTTTCTCATATATTTCATCGTCATCGAATTGTCTTTTTAATTTAAAAAATCTGAATTCTTAATTGTTAAAATCCGTATAAGATAATTTTATGAGAATCTTTGAATTGAACTGATATTATCTAATTAAATTGATATTCTGATGAAACCTATAAAAATGTTGAATCTCCATCAAAATCAACTCCTTTCCAAATTAATCTATTGATTTAATTTTGAATATCAAAAATTATAATTAAATAGGTCAATTATAGTATTAATAACATTGCTTTTATTAACTAACATAGTGTCATTTAAGTTTAAGAAGGAACAATTAAATAGACTGAAATAATAATAAAAAATAAATTCTAAAGAATTAGTGTCTTCTTCTTCGATTGTAGTCGTCATAATGAAATGAGATAAAGAAGTTATTTAATCAATATGCCTTTAGTTTTAGTATTGACATATTATAACTAGGCTTTAAAAAAAAAATTATAGGTAACTTATTTTTTCTCCTGTTTCAAATACATTTTTAAGATATGTTTAATGATTAAATATAAGTTTTTAGATTAAAATCATCTACTAAAAAGTTTAAAGTGGAAAATAATATTACTTACATAAAAAAATTATAATTCTATATACAAAATGTTGTTTAAAACAGAAAAAACTATTCATTTTTATTTTCAATAAAAATGTATTATATTTGATTTGTAAATTAGAGTAAATGGATTAATAGTAATTGTTAACAGTTATATAGAAATGGAAGTATAATTTAAGGATAAAGATCATATTGTTAAAATAAGATAGATAAAATATAATCTTAATTTAAAAACTATCATTCCTGATGGTGATATTGAAGGTTTAGGAGAAGAGTCTTATTATTGACAGAGTCAATTTCTAATTCAAAGTTTAAAGGGTAATGGAATTTTATTGTTTTTTTATATCATAAAAATGTGGCTAAAAGATATTAAATAGAAATAGCTTAAGGAAAATTAGAAGATTCAAAATCTGGATGAACTAAATGGGTAGATGTATTAAACATTTAACTTTGGTTTGCTTAATATCTTATCTCATATTATTAATATAAGAATTATTAGATAGGCAAATATCAGAATCAAGAATATTTTAAAGGTTATAGATTCTAGTAAATCTTTCATTGATAAAATTCAATAGAATTAGTAAATATGTGTATCAATTAATATATATAGAGTTGATTAAGAGAAGAGAAATTAATATAGAGTCGATGAAAATGAAGAAAAATAATTTTGGATTTGGATTACATAAAACAGCATAATCAAAGAATTGGCAATTAGATGATAATTATGCTTGTGAATTAAAATAACAATAAATATGAGTTAAGAATTTCAATATGAAGATGATCTATAAATGGATTGATTAAAAGAATATAGATTTGTTATATGCGCTATATTAGGTAAAATACTAATATTAAAACGATTAATAAGCAAATAACGATGTCATTATCAAGATTAGCAGTTAATTAAAATTATTAAGGTGATGCTGCTTAATTAAGAGATAAAGCAATAGCTATTCGTATTGACCTGGGTTCTACCATTTTTACATATATAAAGGGAAATTTTAATTTAGTCAATAATTTAGAATATAACCAAATTTTGGATGGATCCTGAAATCATATTTGGTTTTGATATAAAATAATAAATCATAGTTGGGATA